AGAGAGAGAGAGAGAGAGAGAGAGAGAGAGAGAGAGAGTAGACGGACGCCATGTTTGAGCAGGGTGCACTGGAACCGAGAAAGAGAAGTGGGAAGGCGCTTAGAGAGAGAGAAAGAGAGAGAGAGAGAGAGAGAGAGAGAGTTCAAAGGAGTGGTGGGAAGGAGGATCTTGGAGACGGTGACGTGGCAAAGGAGAACTTGGAGGAATAGCAGGGGAGGAGGATTTGGAAACGGAGAAGCTTACCAGGGCGGAACAACGACAACGAAAGACAGGGCAAACTGCAAGATTCCCTGGGCTGCTAGGGGTAAAACGAAAATAAATAGGGCCTGTGAAAAGCTGGCAAGTACCAGGACATTTTCCAAAGATGGACAGTACCCGGTAGGGGTATTTTGCAAAGATGGCAAGTCCAATCGGCGCCATGGGCATTTCGTAAAACATTTTTTGTGTCAGAGGGGTATTCCACTCTACCCACATCTTTTAGGAGCATTTTTTTTATTTTTTTTTAATAGCTAATTCTAAAAGCCCAACCTATTTTGGCTTATATCTCACAGTTCATAGGGGCATTTCACAAAGTGAAAAACAAAAAGAAAAAAGAAAAAAGAAAATAACAAACACAAAACAAAAAGAAAGGGGGGATCTTGAGTGGATTTGGGACCGCTGGGACTACTGGGACATAGTTGTGAATGAATTCAAAAATATGTGGGAATGCATATACCTCCTTTGTCAGATGGTGTTACATTTTGTTAGATTTTGCTGGCTTTCGTTTGATGGACCATTCACAATGGGACTTTTCTGACTTCGGTTGGGATGGACTTGGCCGGGAGTGCCTCGCCCAGCCCGGACGGACTTGGCCGGGAGGGAGTGCCTCGCCCAGCCCGGACGGACTTGGACGGGAGGGAGTGCCTCCCCCAGCCCGGACGGCCGGGACGTTGGACCCAGTTTCCAGCACAAATGGAATGGCTTTAGAGAAAAGAAAAAACAAACGGAAAGGGGGGGATCCTCTAATTATTAGACTCACCCTTCTTTTCTGAATTTTAGTTTTTTTTAAGCTATCAGTAAAAGCTGAAAATTTAGAGGGTGGTAGTTAATAAGGGAAACATACAAAAAAAAAAGGGGGCCCAATTGTGGTTCGGCAGATCCCCGGTGCCCGGAGTGCCCGGAGTATGGGCCGTCCCCCGGACCGTTTGGGGGGAGGTCCAACCCCCCCATCGCCCAACGTTGGACCCGGGTTCAAATCCACATGTTAATAAATCAACGAGGGCATACTCGCACGACGACTTTCCGACCAAGCTCTGGACTTTATAGCCATCAGGCTCATCCTGATCAGATGGTCATATAGAGGAACGAGCGCGTATGTCCCCCAAACGTTTGGGGGATGGTCTGACCCCCCCCATCGCCCAACACTGGACGCGGGTTCAAATCCACATGTTAATAGATGAACGAGGGCGGGCATACTCGCACTACGACTTTCCGACCAAGCTCTGGACTTCATTGCCGTCAGACTCATCCTGATCAAATGGTCTTATAGAGGAACGAGGGTGTACTCACCCCACGACTTCTCCTACTAAGCTTTGGACTGGATTGTGGTCAGATTTATTCTGGTCTTCGTGTAGTTGCAGCGAGATACATTTACGAAAGTGCCACGGTGCGTATGCCCTGGCCTTCTGGCGAAGATGAAGTGTCGTCCCTGTTCCTATTAGCTTTACACAAAACACAAAAAAAGAAAAAGAACCGTTCGGAATCACCGTGTTATCGACCGTTTCCACTTAGTCCAACAGTTCACTGGCCTTGTTGTGTGTCGTCATGTTCGCTATACAAGAACCCGACCCCCTCTCCCCCCCCAAAAAAAGGAAACCACGCAAGGCAGTTTTKTGTTTCGTCATGTTYGCTATACACAAGCTCCCCCGTTCCTCCCCCCCCCAAAAAAAAAAAAAGAAAACCAGCACGCAAGGCCGAGTTGTTKTTGTTGCTGGTTTTTTTTTTTTTTTTTTTTTTGAATGTGTGTGTGTGTGATGATGTGTGAAACACATGGAGGCACACAGTGTGCACCAGATCGACACAATACCTCAGGAGGAAACACGCATCTGAGTGAGTCAAGTAGACAGACAATCCTTCAAGTAGAGCATTGCAGGTCTACTTGAGGTAAAAATGGCAAAACGAAAAACTACAAATTCAAGACCACAAGGTAGACAAATGATACACGACAGTGAGTCACAGAAGACAGTGACACAAAGGACTTAGGCTGGAGGGCAGGGGGGAGGCGGCAGACAAACGACACAAGGCCAGCCAACGAAAAGGCAAGCCAAAGAACAACAGGCAAACAAAAAGAGAAAGGACCAAAAAACACAAAGTGAAAAAATTAAAACTGATGATAGACTGTGTCATCGGAATTGCACCAACTCATCGGGAGGCTGAACCGCCGACAATCTGCGGAATCTCTGTGTTTGATGGTTTGGGTCATGAACCCTTTTGACCCATGTCGAAGGCAGACCGTCCCCAACCGGAACATAGCAGCGGGCAGCAACCCTGTGGAGCACCAGGCAACGCAGTAGAGGCAACACCGCTGCACAACGCCAAAAACGACTGCAAGGAACAACAGGGAAAGTGGATGACGGATGACCAGCACAGCAACCGTGCCGCGAAGCACAAGGCAACACAAGCAAGGCAACCACACTGCAAGGGAGAACAGGGCGAGCAGAGCAGCTTCACAAGGCAACACAAGCAAGTCAACCACACTGCAAGGGACAACAGGGCGAGCAGAGCAGCAGCTCAGCAACGGTGCAGTGAAGCACAAAGAACCGCAACAAGGCAACCAACCTACAAAGCACACAAGTAACAAGCACAGGAGGCACGACCAGCGGATGGGCAGCAAGGCAGCGGAGCAGCGAAGCTCAATGGAACAGCGCCAACACGCCACATCACACAACGAGCACAACAACTTGCAGAGAACCACATGTAAAGCAAGCGGTACAGGCAGCAAGGGAATGGCGAAGCGCAGACGAGGCAGTCCACACATCCAACACGGAGCAAAGCGGGATATGACCGACTCACATCACGATCGAGCTGCGCTAACTGTTGGTTCCCACCACCCACTGAGCCAGGGAGATGCTCCGACGAGCATCCATCTTCACCCACAGGCAACACAGACACCCCGAACCGAGCGGCCCCCCTAAGATAAAGTGCTGTAGGTAGGCACTCCAGACAAGGAATGACAGACTGTTTGGCACTACTTAAAGGTGCTCAGTTGGGCACACAAAAAACTTAAGAACAAATCAGAGGAAAGACAAACGACAGGCGGAAAACAAACATACATAAAACTGTGTGTGTGTGTGTTTGTGTGCGCGCGTGTGTGTGTGTGTGTTTGTGTGCGCGCGCGCGTGTGTGTGTGTGTGTGTGTGTGTGTGTGTGTGTGTGTGTGTGTGTGTGTGTGTGTGTGTTGTCATGTTCGGTATACACAACTCCACAAAAAATAAAAAGCATGCAAGGCCGCTTTGTGTGTTGTGACGTGTCTTTTTGTTTTTTCCCTTTTGTAAAACGAGTCTGTAAATAAATAAAAAAAAAGTAATCTATGTACATAGGCCACCCACTCTGCACCAGACTTTCCCCCAATGGCATTGATCGCTCTCCTAATGAGAGGACGTGTTTTTCCTTTTTTTTTTTGAGAGGCAGTGTTGTTTGTTTCTTTTTTTTTTCTTTTTTTTTTTTGAGAGGCAGTGTTGTTTGTCATGTTGGCTATATACACAACCCTACACCCCCCCCAAAAAACAAGCATGCCTGTGCCAGAGTTTTTGTCGGACTTTTCTTTTCCTTTCTTTTTAGGGCTGTGTATGATGGTAAGGTTGCACGTAATGGTGGTGTATGGGGGTCTGAAAGCTCTCGCTCGCTCTCTCCCGTATCTCGATCCCTTCCTCGAGATGAGATCCGAGAGAGAGCGAGAGCTTTCAGACCCCCATACACCGCCGTCCGTACCTCCACACCTCCCTCGGATTGCCAACAGGTTCCGACGCCCACGAGGAGCCATCTTCTCTCAACCCCATGACAGCAAGCCCCACTTCCTCCTCTCTCGTGAGTGCTGAGTGTATCTTCACTTATTGAGTTTGCAGCCCAGCGCAACCAACTCAATAAGTCACCTACCACACCACATCACGATGACCCACACAAGAGCTTCACCACGTGAAGAAGAAAACAGTGACGTGGC